CCTGTAATCCCAGCTAACTTGGGAGGCTGAGGCAGAGAATTGCTTGAACCCGGGAGGCGGACATTGCAGTGAGCCAAGATCACGCCACTGCACTCCAGCCTGGGTGAGACAGCAAGACTCTGTCTCAAAAAAAAAAATCAATCAATCAATCAATCAATTTTTTTTCATTTCTTTTGATGTAAGAAAATGTCTAGCTAAGTAGTATAGGTACTGCAATACTAGGCTTTTTCATTTTTAGGGGCAACATGACACATTTGAAACCAGGACTATCTTGGAAATTCAGAACTTATGGTTGCCATGTTTATAGGGCAATCAATAATATTTAACAAAAACATAGATGTCTGACAACATTATTTTCTTTTTTCTTTTTTTTTTTTAAAGAGACAAGATCTCCCTCTGTCACCCAGGTTGAAGTACAGTGGCATTCCATAGCTCACTGCTGCCTTGAAGTCCTGGGCTCCAGTTGATCCTCCTGCATCAGCCTCCTGAGTAGCTATGACTATAGGCATGCTCCACCACACCTGGCTAATTTTTGTATTTTTTGTACATACAAGGTCTCACCATGTTGCTCAGGCTGGTCTTGAGCTCCTGGCCTCGGGCAATACTCCTTCCTCAGCATCACAAAGTGCTGGGATTACAGGAGTGGGCCACTGTGCCCAGCCATACAACAGATTTTCTGATTGTCATTAATTAGCAGTGAATATTAAATTAACTATTTAAAATGATGGGCCAGGCATCGTAGTTCACGCCTGTAATCCTAGCACATTGGGAGGCCAAGGTAGGTGGATCACTTGAGGCCAGGAGTTCAAGACAAGCCTGGCCACCATGGCGAAACCCTGTCTCTACTAAAAGTGCAAAAATTAACCGGGTGCAGTGGTGCATACCACCTGTAGTCCCTGCTGCTTGGGAGGCTGAGGCACGAAAACTGCTTGAATCCATGAGGTGGAGGTTGTAGTGACCTGAGATTGCACCACTGCACTTCAGCCGGGGAGACAGAGTGAGATTTTGTCTCAAAAATAAATAAAATAAAATAAAATTATGGCCTGCAGATCCCGGCACTATCCTTTTAGGTAATTACCTCTCAAGTTACTATATTACTACCAAAATGTTTCTGAATATTCTTTTTTTTTTTTTTTTTGTGACACAGAATTTCACTCTTGTTGCCAAGGCTAGAGTGCAATGGCCCAGTGTCGGCCCACTGCAACCTCTGCCTGCCGGGTTCAAGCGATTCTCCAGGCTCAGCCTCCCGAGTAACTGGGATTATAGGTGCCCACTGCCATGCCTGGCTAATTTTTGTATTTTTAGTACAGACGAGGTATCACCATGTCGGTCAGGCTGGTCTCGAACTCCTGACCTCAGGCAATCCACCCGTCTCGGCCTCCCAAAGTGCTGAGATTACAGGCGTGAGCCACCACGCCCAGCCATGTTTCTGAATATTCTATGTGTCACACTACATAATCATTAAAGAAACAAACTCAGAATTTTATGAAGCATAGAAATAATTTTATAGAAAGTAAAATAATTACATTCAGGCAAATCCAAATTAAGATGGGACACCTTGTAAATGATTAGGTTCTTTAAGTGAGGTGGGGAGAGAAAGATTTACTAAATTGAAATACCTACCTTGCCGTGGGAACTGTTCAGCTAACTTCCTAAGGCTTGTTAAACTGTCAGCACCAAGCTGACTTAATATTCCAGGAAGCATTTCTGTGATTGGTTTGGCTTCTGCATGACCAGTAATTGCAAAGGTGTTAGCAGAAAGGGAAGCTTGGACTTTGGGATTGTTGAAATGAATAACTGTCCCATCATCTTTAATCATGTTCACCTGTATGATCACAGAAGAAAAATGTACTTCACATGCTAGGTACACTAAAACAAAATATTTTTAAAAAGCAAGTCAGCCAATTATGGTTTTTCACTTGGTAGTTATGTAATCCCAAGGTAGTAACTGGCCAAGCAGTGGACATTCATGGAAAAAGATCATACTAATAAAGTAAAATGGTGTAGATGGCACAAATTATTAGGATGGTTAAGAAATATTCACTTCATTATAGAATCTAGATTTTAAATTCAAAGACTTCTAAAAGAAGTACATGCCCACGTTTTTTAAAAAATGAAAGTATCAGCCACGAACCAGCTTCTTAATGAAATTACTCATTATCTTACTCAATTTATACTGTCAAACAAAATCAGTGCAATTTCCACTTGGTAGGGTAGCATCTTACTTAGGGGACTGGTTATAAAGGGGCAACAGTATATAGTAAAAATAACCACTGAAAATCCATAAAGAACACTCAGAAATTTAACCAGGTGTTTCATTCCTTTAAGCACTTAGTACATTTATAAAAATGTCAACTTGTTCTCATCATGTCATTCTTTGTAGGGGATTTTGTTAGTTCCTCTAAATTTTTTTTTTTTTTTTTTGAGACAGTCTCGCTGTATCATCCAGGCTAGAGTGCAATGGCACGATCTCGGCTCACTGCAGCCTCTGCCTCCCAGGTTCTAGCGATTCTCCTACCTCAGCCTCCCAGGTAGCTGGGATTACAGGCACGTGCCACTATGCCTGGCTAATTTTTGTATTTTTAGTAGAGATAGGGTTTCACCATGTTGGCCAGGCTGGTCTCGAACTCCTGAAATCAGGTGATCTGCCCACCTTAGCCTCCCATAGTGCTAGGATTATAGGCATGAGCCACCGCGCCCAGCCAGTTCCTCTAATTCTTAAAGGTAGCTTCTCAATAATCTTTAATAACCCCTGTAAAGGTCAAAGAAGTTGTCCCACCCACTTGCCTAGTGACCTGAACATGCTTTATCAACAACTAGAAAACCTTTAAAAATCATCCTCACATTCTTTCCATAACTTTTACCAATATGAACTGACTATTTCAGATTTGATTTCATCCATTGCCTGGGACTTACTGAAATGGAAGGTTTAACATATGCTACTTAGATTGTTATTTTTCTCTCTCACTCATGTACTTTGTTTTTTTTAGTAGAGTTGAATTTGCGTAAGTTAAATGTGTAAATAATGTGATTCCACTATGTAGTTGATTCCCCTGGGTAAGTTACCTTGGTGGTAACATGCTTACTATATAAAAAGGTTAGGAAGAGTTAACTCTTGGCTACTTTAGAAGCATTTCATGATCCATCCAAAATCTGCCCTGTCACAATCAAGCATAGATGCTGAGTGTTCTCCATGGACTGTGGGAAGAGGGCTTTTCTTCCTCAGAGGTGATCACCAGTATTGACAGCACCAGAAAGGAAGGGCAAGAAAGGGGCTTCTAAATTTCAGGCAAGACCTGGAACACAGAGAAAATAAAAGCAAATCCCTGAAAAATTGTAACTAAACCCCACAAATAATTTCCCCACGTTTTTCTGACAAAAATCACTATTTAAATTCTATACCCTTCCCTC